AAAAAAAAAAAAAAAAAAAAAAAAAAATTAAAAAAAAAAAAAAGAATAAATGTCATGTAGAATATAAATAATAAGGGTAATTTTGAATGTTTAGAATACACCCATGTATGAGTTCGAAAAGTAAATTTTTTTTTGACCCATGATTACACTCCGATTCGATGGGTTCAACATTGAGGTGTTTATGAGGTTTTCCAACCTCCCAAATAACCTTCTAACAAACCATCCCTCTTTCATACCTTTTTTCTGAACAACTAAATAATCTTGATTTATCTTATTTTACTCTACAAACGCTTGAAATAACCTTCATCCAAACAAAGAGTAGTTGCAAATTCACTCTAAATCAACCTTTGTGGGCACCCTAAACTTATCAACTTAGTTGCAATTACACCGTAATTTGATTTTACAGTGCAATTGCATCCTAAAAGTGAATTACCACATTCTGAACTTATTGATTTGCTACAGCTGTACTGTAAAAGTGAACTGTGGTTGAATTTTAATTAAAATAATGTAAAAATGTACTCCATAACCAACCCAAGTATTTAAACAATAAATAATAGAATCAGACCCAAATATTCATATAATAAATAAAAAAAAATCAAGATTGCATCTTTGATTTTAAAATTGAATCAATTTTAAGATGCAAAAACAATGAGTTGGATATTAAGATTACACATCCTAGAGCGAAATTACAACTAGTTGAAAAGTTCGGGATGAAATTGATGGTTAGCGTTTTTTTTTTTTATGTTCTAAACATCCGAAATTTATGAAACTTGAGATAATAATATGATTTCATATTAAAATGAATGTTAACACAATTGCTTATTAATAAAATTATATCCAATATGTATATATAAATCACAATTTATCCACTATCAATTTGACTTCGCATACTATCACAATATTACTTAATAAACACATCTTAATGTTTGTGTATATATAACACATCCTTAATGTTTGTGGTGTAATATATATATATATATATAATATATATATATTTGAAAGAGTATAATTATATATTGATTTTTGTGAAAGAATTCAATATGTAATATATTTGAAAGAGTATAATATATAATTGATTTTGTGAAAGATTCAAATATGTAATAATTATTAATAACAAATTCACTTTATACCAAACAGTATGATTTAAAAGAGCAAAAACAATTATAATTCTATTTAGTGTATGTCTACATATATATAATTTAAAAGTTCAACCGTCAGCTTATCCCATGGAGGTCTTCACATTTACACATACGAAGGACCATGATGGGGTGACATTTATTGATAGGCATGCCGAGCTTGTTAGAGTAAACACAATTGGAAATTTTTTTATTTTTCCATCTACATTTAAATATTTCTGCATTATTCTTATCCTACTGTGTTCTATACTTGTAAGGATAACTATACTATTGGGAAAGAGAGAGCTACTGCATCTCAAGCTCAGACTGGTGAGTAGTCTACGATTGATGAGTTGCAGCTTTATCTTGAGGCTGCAGGAGGCGAGAAGAAGAGTAAAGTGTAAGGTATTGGTTCGCAGTCTAACATTTTTTATAGCCGCACGCATGGGGCTTCAGGGAGTACCGCTACACTAGTTGAGCCAGAGGCACGCGCTGAGGAGATTCAGAATTTACAGGCTTAGCTTCAAACATAGCAGTAGCAGATATCACAGCTTATATTGCAGCAGTAGCAGCTGATAGACATGTATGCTCGAGATCGACCTACAGCATTGCCAGCTCCCTCTGCACCTATGGATCACTATGATCCCCCGACTTAGTCCACTATGCCTGCTTCTCAAAGTCCCATTACAGACCTTGCAGATCATAGAACACCTTAGACTTGTTTTTTTATTATCATGTTTATTCTGTATATATTATAGTATAATTTGTACATTTATCTTCGCAGATTAATAATAATGTTTTTTTTTATATAATTTAGTATTTTTTTTCATTACCGCGATTGTTTGTCTAAATTACTTGAATCAGCATATATTGTCATTTTTTACAGGTGAAAAGTTTTTGTTGTAAAAATTTTTAATTTCATTTTTTTATTCCAAAATACAATAGCTATCGATTAGCGACTGCTCACAATCTTTTAAAAGGTATTTGGAGAGAGATATAGCGACCAATTTGTCACATAATTAGCAACGGAATAGCTACCGCCAAGTTTAATGACCAATTAGCGACTACTTTGTATATAATGGGATGAATTGATTCAACGACCACATTTGCAATATTAGGTCGGTCACTAGTTACGACGGACACCATATTCAATGACGCAGAATGGTAACGTGAATGGATAGACAATTATACTCCATCAAAAGTTTTGATCAATATCGTTTGATTTGACGAATAAAAAGAGAACTAAACTTTCAAAGAAGTTTACTGCATATGAATAATGTTAAAAAAAATAGTCCCCTCTCAAAATAACAAAGTAACCTATTTATAGGTTTAGACTGAAACATAAAACCCTAAAATAAACACAAAAAAATGTAATTGGACACGTCAATAGAAACTAAACTCCAGGGAGCGGCACGGGCGTGCTGTCAGGGGCACGGGCGTGTCCTGAACTCCAGAGAGGGGCACGGGCATGCTGTCATGTGACACGGGGGTGTCACTTCTTCTTAGTCTTGCAAGGGTCTAAGTCTTTTATGTATTGAATTGCAAGTTACTCTGCATTCATCCCCTCCACTTTAAAAGAACTCAACCTCGAGTGATCATCATCGGGCTAGAATGGGAATAAATCAGCAACATTGAAAATCTTGGAAATCTTCATGTCTTTAGGCAGGTCAATCATATAAGCATTATCATTAATCTTCTTAAGCACCTGAAATGACCAATCTTCTTGGAATGAAGCTTCTTCTATCATCCGCCATGCTCCTTGCGAAGGTAAATCATGACCCAATCACCCACGGTAAACGAATTATAACGCTGGTGTTTATCAGCTGCAGATTTATATTTTCATTAGCAGCAGTGATGAATTGTTGCACTTGTTTGAACACCTCCACATGCTCGGTAGCCAAGTTATTAGTTGCAATACTCTTCGCTACACCTGCCGGGAGGGAAAGAAGATCAAGGGTATGGGCTGGAACCTTCCGGTAGACAATTGCAAAAGGGGACATTTTGGTGGAGCTATGGACAGAACTGTTATAAGCAAATTCTGCTTGAGCAAGAGAAATATCCCCCATCGTCTTCTTCTTGCTGCAAATGCATCTAAGGAGGTTACCAAGAGTCCAGTTCACAACTTCAGTTTGACCATCAGTTTGAGGGTGAGCGATACTACTGTAATGAAGTTGAGTGTTAAATCTCTTCCGCAAAGTTGTCCAAAAATGAGCTAGAAACTTTGTGTCTCGGTCAGATGTGATGGTTTTGGGAATGCCATGCAGACAAACAATCTCCTGGAAAAATAATTTGGCAATGTGTGAGGCATCACTAGTTTGCCTGCAAGGAATAAAATGTGCCATCTTGGAGAATCTGTTGACAATAACAAAAATAGAATCAGCTTTGCGTTAAGTTCGAGGTAAACCCAACACGAAATCCATAGACAAGTCCTCCCACGGTTGTTACGACATCGCCAATAGGGTGTATAAGCCGATATTTTGAGAATCGTCCTTCTGTGTCTGATAAACGAAACATTTTTATACCAGCTTCCCTGCTTCCTTCTGCAATTGTGGCCAGTAAAAATGAACTTCCAACCTCGCAATAGTTTTATCACAACCTAGATGACCGCTCAGCCCACCACCATGGATTTCTCTGATTAACTTTTCCCGGATGGAAGACTGAGGAATGCATAACTTGTTATCTTTGAATAGATTCCTGCATGTACCAAGAATCCATCAGTAGGCTGTTTAGCATGAATTTTAGCCCATATGTCAGCAAAATCTTCATCCAAAGAATAAAGATCTTTAAGAAATTCAAACTCCACAATCTCTTGCTTAATTGTAATCAGTAAAGCGGCTTTCCTGCTCAAAGCCTCCGCTACCGTATTATAAGTACCCGATTTGTGCTTAGTGACATAATGAAAAGCACCAAAATAAGTTCTCCGCTACGCGGTATTTATAAGTACCCCGATTTGTGCTTAGTGACATAATGAAAAGCACCAAAATACGTTGCCCACGTGCGCATACATCTGCTCACAGTCTTCTGAGTTTAAAAATGAAGTTAAAGCTTGATGATTAAGTGGTAATAACAAACTCTCACCCAACAAATAATGAGTTAAAGCTTGATGATTAGTGTAAATAACAAACTCTCACCCCAACAAATAATGTTCCCAAGTATTGAAGGCTCGGTAAACTGCATACAACTCTTGCTCATAAGTAGACCATCTCTGTCTAACTTCATTCAATTTTTCACTAAAGAATGCGATAGGTTTTTCAGATTGTGACAACACACCACCAATTCCAATCCCGCAAGCATCGCAATCTACCTCAAACAATTTATCAAAATCAGGTAAAGCAAGAATAGGGGCGGAAGTAAGCTTATCTTTAATTTCTTCAAAGCTTTTGTTGTAGCGTCGGTCCATATAAACTGACGAACTCTCTCCTTCTTCAAACAATCTGTGATAAGAGTGATGATGCTGCTAAAGTTTCTGATGAATCGCCTATAAAAAATAGCAAGACCATGAAAACTATGAACTTCAGTGATATTTTTAGGGATAGGCCAATTTCAAATGACCTCAATTTTTCTGTCATCAACATGTATCCCCTTCAAGCTAACAATATAGCCAAGAAAAAGAATTCGCTCTGTCATAAAGCTGCACTTTTTAAGGTTGATGAATAATTCATTTTCCTGCAAAGTGTTCAACACCAGTTGAAGGTGCTGAAGAGGTTCTTCCTCACTGCGACTAAAGATCAAAATCTCATCAAAATAAACAACCACAAATTTGAATAAGAAAGGACGCAAAACTTGAGGCATAAGCCGCATGAACATGCTCGGAGCATGAATCAACCCAAACAACATAACCAACCGCCCACACAACCCTTCCTTAGTCTTGAATGTGATCTTCCATTAATCTCCCACCTTGATTCGGATTTGATGATACCCGTTGCGAAGATCTATTTTAAAGAACACTGTAGATCCTGACAGTTGGTCCAACATGTCCTCCAGATGAGGAATAAGAAATTGATACTGTACCGTGATCTTATTGACGGCTCGGCTATCTACACACGTCCTCCAAGTCCCATCCTTCTTCGGTACCAATAAAGTAGGAACTCCACAAGGACTAATGCTCTCTCTGATATGTCCCTTCTTCAATAATTCTTCAACTTGTTCCAAAAGAATTTGGCTTTCCTTTGGATTCATCTTGTAATGAGATACGTTCGGTATCTTTGATCTAGGGATGAAATCAATCTGATGCTGGATGTCCCACAAAGGCGGAAGTGTAGATGGTTCTTCCACTATGACATGGAACTCATCTAACAACTCCTTTACAGATGATGGTACTAGTGCCTTTTCTTCAGAATCTATCTTCGGTCTAATCAACAAGACTAACGCACCTCCAGACTTCTCAATCGCACCCGAAAATTCTTGCACATTGGAAGAAACAGCTACTATGGATTTCTCCTCCACTTTAGAAGCTTTGGCAGAAGATCCAAAAGCTAGGACAATGATTTTCTTATTTTTCCAAGTGAACAGGTATGAATTTTCTCTCCCCTTATGCAATGCATCTACATCAAACTGCCATGGACGACCTAGCAGTACTCCACAAGCATCCATATCCACAACATCACAACTAATAGAATCTGTGTACGATTTACCCATTGAGATAGGAACTTTGCAAATTCGGTTGACTTCAATTGTTGGACCCTCCTTAATCCACCCTACCTTTTACGGTGAAGGATGCGATTCTGTGGGCAAATTCAGCTTCTCAACCAGTTGTTTGGCTATCAAATTTTCACAGTTACAACTATCGATAATGAGTCGGCACAATGCTTCACCAACACGACATTTAGCCTAGAAAATTTTCCTTCGTTGAGTTTCATCTTCCTGTTTTGGAGAGTATAATATTTTCTGAACAACATATGTAACTTCACCATCTTCTGAACCAGCCAAGGATCCATCATCTTCGTCTTCTACTGCTTCAAACTCAGCCACCTCATCAACTACATTTACTTGTCGACGTCCATCATTAGTCCCCCTGCGTTCAGGAGATATATTAGAGTATGCCCCTATTTTTTGCATCTATAGCAAGTCTCCTGTTGGCTTTTGATACGGATTCGGTCTACTATTTTCGTCGGCCATAGGAGACTTTCCCTAGGGGTCCTTCTTTTCTTCTACTAGAATCTATCGTAAGTTTTGATTATTAGCAGGAGTTACTACTCTTGAACTTTGTCCACCGTAATTACTAATAGGTTGTTGATTTCTAGATGAATAGGGTTGTCTGAAAGTCTGATTATGATTAGGTGATGGTTGAGGCTGCCAGTTAAGTCTATCTTCTGAACATTTGGCCATCTCAATTTCATCTGCCAACGTGAAAATTGCAGCTACACCCATCACACACATTATATCATGCTTCAATCTCCTCTGATAATAAGCTACTTGTTGGGATTCAGTCTCACAATTATCACATCGAGCCTGCAATTTCAAAAAATTCTTTCGTGTACTCAATAATCTTTCATTTCCCTATAAACATTGATGATATCTGTTATACAGTATTTGGGAGTGATCATTGGGAAGAAAACGATGCTCAATCAACTGTTTTATTAAAATCCAATCTCCTACAGCTTCAATCCTTCGACAATGGCATTCGTTTTGAATAGAGTGCCACTATGCTGCTGCACCTCCTTTCAGTTTATATGCCACAATGGACACTTTACGCTCATCTTCAACATGCGTGATCTCAAAGAAACGTTCTACCTCTGCTAACCAATCAAGAATGCTTTCAACATCTAAAGATCCTGAGAAAGATTAAAGATCTACCTTTATTTTGTATCCATCATGAAGATTCTCGCCACTACCTCTGTAATTTTGGCCTCCAACATATTGATTTTGGTGCCTTCCATAATCTGGTGGTGCGTTAAATTCTGCTTGATTTTCAAGATAATGAGCAGCAAGACGTCTGTTAGGAAATGCTGCAGGATTTGGTTGCTACAGATTCGGCTCTGCTGCTGCAGCTGCAGGTTGGGGGTTGCCCCGTTGTACTGTGAGGGTGTGAACCCCTCCCCAAAACATCAAATGCATATGATGCATGTGACTAAGGAAGAAATGCACGTGAATGTGTGAGTCGCCACCTTGTTTAATTATCCCCCAAAACATGCAAATGCATATGATGCATGTGACTAAAGGAAAGAATGCACTGTGAATCGTGTGAGTCGCCACCTTGTTTAATTATTTTAGGGTAAAACGTAGGAAAAACCCTAAGTTGACTCCAATTTTAATTAAACCTAATTTACTTAGAGATTAATTAACCCAATGTCCAATGTTAAGGCATGGTCTACGAACCCGAGGTGGATCCCGAGACTATGTCATGCTGATGAACTAACCAAAACAATGAATGCTTTGCAGGGTAAAATCATGTAATTGGACCAATGAAAAATGTTTATGTGATTGCGACTTGCCACTCAGGGTTAAATCCCTAACGTGCCTACGTACTTCCGTTTGAATGGAAGATCAGAGTCAACGTAGTTCGATGTGTCTTTTTAAAAGGGCTTTGAATGGGTATGCTTAATGCATGGGTGTGTGTATGCTTCGTGCATTTTGTTTAGGCATTTTGCCAAAGACTTGATTGGATTGATTGTTTTAAGGCATTTTGATGCCAAAAATGTTGTTTTTAATGGCTTTTAGCAAAAAGATTAATTTAAGCAATTGGTTGCCAAAAAAAATGATGTGAAATTAGGCGATTGTCGCCAAAATATTTTGATTTATTTGAAGGCTTTAAAAAGCCAAAACACTTGATTTAGGCAATTTACTTGCCAAAAAATTGATGATTGGCGGCCGATTTGTCGCAAACTTGGTTAATTTAAAGGATTTTATTTGCCAAAAGTGATTAATTGAAGGCTTTTTAGCACAAAATTTGTTATTTAAGCGATTTGTCGGCTAAAAAAGGATCAATCTCACTTAAGAAATTTGGTTTGCCAAAAGTGATTAATTGATTTATAATGTAGGCAGTTTATTGCCAAGAAAACGTGTTTAATTAAAACTTTTAGCCGCAATTATTGATTAATTGGACTTAAGCCAGATCTGTTCGAAATAAAGGCGATTATACCATAGCTATTAATTAACTAAGTATTTTAAGCCAATATCGTCGGATTTAGACTGTAATACCACGATTATTTATTAACCGGGCATTTGGCCTAATCTTAATTATTTGAGGCAGTTTATTTGCCTAAAGATGTCATGAATGCTTTTATGCAGTTATAGAATTATTAGGAGTAGAAGAGAAGAATGTGAAATGCCCTAAAATTAAGTAAGGCAGAGTTTAGTTCATGTACCTGAATTTAAATACCGAACGGCCACTTCTTTAACTCCAGGTTAAGCTTCCTCGTTTACGGGGAAATATTAATTAACTTTAGTTTTAAGTGGACCAAGTATCACAAACAATATAAACTAAAATTAGAAATGCAAGAAAGCAGTAGAATCGCAAGAGCGTAAGGAGAAGGAAGCGTTTCCGTCAACACAGACTGAGTGTGGGAAAACAGATGCGGGCCACTATTTATAGGCGAAAAACGACTGTTTTCGGCGGCTGGGCCGCCTTTTGTGGCCGGCGTTGGGGCCGCCGGTGGCTGCGGGCTGGGCCGCCGGTTTGGGGCGGTGGGCCGCCAGGATAACGGGCCGCCGGGTCGGGTCCCGGTGGCCGGCGGCTGGGTCACGGATGCCAGGCGGGCTGGGCCGCCGCGCCTGGTGGTTTTACTGAATATCGCTCCGGAGGTTTTTTCGGGAGCTCCGGTCCTCCGAAAAAAATTTCAGGACCGGTTTCGCGATCCTCGCGATATCCCGGACGTTTCAAGTACCATATTGGCATGCTTTCGGTAAAATTCCAAAATGGCCTTCGGTCCTTGCGGTCCGGCCGGACTGCTTGCGGTCCGGCCAAGCTGGCTCTTTGAGCCTCAAAATTTGGGTGTTCACAGTTGCCCCCCACCGGCAACCATAAAAATGATTTATGGGAGTCGGTGGTTGTCTGAGTTGTCTGAAACACAACTTTTGGAGGCGAAAATTTGACGCCTCCAGAAGTACCCGCCTTTTTGGCTATTTGCTTATAAATAGCTTAACAATTCACGCCATTTCTACTCATTCTAAACTTTCTACATACAAAAGTTCTCTCAAATTCTCTCAACTTTCAAAGCTACAAGACCAACTTCTTCTATGGCTCTTCCAAGCTATAACAGCGACGAGGACTTCCTCGGGTCTCTAGGGATTTCTCTCGGCGAGGTCGATCTTATGGCAGACGCAGATACTCACGCCTCCATGGCCGGCATCTTTGCCCAGGTGAGTTCCCTTTCACTTTTATGCGTGCCAATTATTTATTATTTGGGCCTTAGGCCGAATTGTGAATTTTTTGGGCCTTAGGCCAAATTGTGATTTTCGGGCCTTAGGCCAAATTGTGAATGGCCTTTAGGCCAAAATTGTGAAACTTTCGGCCCTAAGGCCACAAATTGGGTTGTTTTTGAAAATTTGCCTGTGCTTAACTTGCTTTTTTTATTAGTATGCATGTTTAGGGTAGACTAAGATAATTACCTTAGTAAGGAACCGAGAGTAACTCTTAGGTTTGACTTACCTTTTAGGACTTCGTATTAATTGGATTGTGGGTGAAGAGTTCCTGTGGTTGGAATTCCGCTCGAACTATTCGGGTCTCAAACAGCAGCCCGGTTGGCGCGATCATCCGTCCATCTTACCTGGGCTATTTGAGGCATTTTGATATGGGTCGGAGTAACTACAAGGAGTTATTATGTGCTTTGGCTCAAAGGTGGTGGGATACCACCAACACTTTCCACTTCTCTTGGGGCGAATTGACAATGACCCCTACAGACTTTTCTGTGATATCCGGGATCCCTTTCGGGATTCGGCCGATCGAGCTATATGATGACTGGAGGATTGATATATCCTCCGACCGGATGGTGGAGCTGATTGGGATTGACCTGCCTCGGCTGGCCTGTGTCCGAGATTCCGGTCGAGATATTTGACCATAACAACCCAGTCGGAGCGATTATTAGTCCGTCCCATTTGGGCTACCTGAGGCATTTTGATGTGGGTCGAAACAGTCACAAAGAATTACTGAGTGCTCTGGCTGAGAGATGGTGGGACACCACCAATACTTTCCATTTCCCTTGAACTGATTTTTCAGTAATCTTCGAGATTCCTTTTGGCATTCAGTCGATAGAGCTGTACAATGACTGGAGGACTGAGGTCTCTCCTGATCGGATGGTTGAGCTGATAGGGATTGACTTGATCTGAGTCGGGGCCATTGCAAACTCAGCGGGACCTACTACTTTTGGGAGGTAATGTAAAGAACATTCTCCCTTTCCGTGCTTTTCTGTTTATTTACTGATTTTTCCTCACTGATTCTTGCTTCTGTTTTGCAGACTTGGGCATTTGAGTATTTTCCTTACACTTGCCCGGAGCTGATTCAGGCTGATCTTGGATATCCCCAGATCAGTAGGCTAGCGGCTCGGCTTGGAGATGGTACAGTACAAGTCAAACCTTCATCCCGTCCGGCACAATAAGTCGTTGAAGGAGCTGAGAGCCTTTTTTGATACTTGCCCTCTGGAGCAGGTACATGCTTGGTATTTTTTTTGGATATGTTAAAAAAAAGATTTATTAACATATTTACATCTTTTATAGGCCGACGTGGGGCTGATGCCTGCCCGGTTACAGAGCTGGATTCAGGCTGATCCTGACTTTCAGCGGTCAGATGCCTTGTCTCAGCGGAGAGTGGTCCTATCACACCCCATCATCCGGCGATATTACTTGGGTGAGAGAGTGGACGTTCAGCTAAGATAAGAAGCTGTCGCTCTG